TTCTTAAGAAATGGAAGGCAGACACACCTTGAACCTTTGACCTGAAGTCTCATATTAAATTAGAAATGGATGTGATGCATGATTTCCTTATCAGCAGGTAGGTAAGCTCAGCAAGCCTTTCTTCTTAACCAAGTCATTTTCTGATGCAACAAACTGTACCCTTATCCCGCCCAAAGAGACTTTGAAAAGTGTTTGCAGTCTCAACTTAAAGCTTGAGATCACAAACCCACCAAATATTAGACAGTCATATTTTAGAATGGTCCATGTACAGTTAGAGATGCTGTGTACCGTATGTGAATTCCTCTTTAATTGGTGATTATAAATAGTCTACAAACTATAGTACTGTACAAAGTTCTCAAGAGTCACAGCCTCAGCCGTATTTTACAGATGTCTGTAGACACTCGCTGTTGTTCCGCTCTCCTGGTAATTTGAACAAAAAAAAGTGCAAATTTGTTTTTTAGGGACACACGACGCACCATGTCCAGATATGTCATCCAAAAGGTTTTTCTGCAGCACATTGTTGGTGCAAAAGTATTACTTTATGCCTGTCAAACTGTGTTATACTGGGCAATTTTCATAGATTCAGCTAACAAAAAAAACAGGAGCAAATAATGTATTTTTGTGCAGGCTGCTAGTAACAAAAAGCTTAAATGTACATTTTAAAACTTGGTGCCTTGCTAAGCTTTCTCTATGTGTAGAAACTAAATTATTCAACATTCATTCCTAGAGTTAGGTGCTTGAATGATTAACAAAAGAATATTCCTTTGAAAATGGTCAGGTATGAGTACTGCAGTGAAAATAAGAGAAAAAGTAGTGAATGTCCAAAGAAAGCCTTTGACTTTCAGGAAGCCTGGGGAACTATTGCTTAAGACCACTTTAAAAAAAATACATGGACCTCAGGCTCCTAAAGAAATGAAGGATGGCACAAGACTTTTTCACGGTACTGTACCTTTTCTCAAAATGGGCGTTGCAATCCTTTTTCAGCATCAGTACCTCTTGCAACATTCGTGTGGACAGAATTAGATTCACAGTTCCCAAATGTATGTGTCTGTAAGAATGTGTGACCATTCCAAGTGTATTAAATTAGTGTGTAGCTGCTGGTTGTGGTTGTCTGTGTGTCCCCGCCACAGATTATAGGGCCTGTCGGCAGACGGGGCTCTAAACATGGGTCACAAGACAGCCCAAAATGTGACAAGTTCATCTCAGAGAGCTGATAGCTGGTATCGTGTGTCTTAAAGCACATGTGCTTATATAGCACAGAATTTAGTGTTATTTCTGTATGTGGGTGGCCTGGATGTGTGGTTCTGTATGGAAATATGTCATACATGTGTTTGAGTCATGTTGAACCACTGTGGTACTTTCATATAAAAGCAGAGCGTGGATTTTTTTTAAAAACATTTTTCAGTTTAAGAGCAGAAATGATGTCAATGAACCGAAATAGCTTAGTTGTTCCTAAACAGGGGTGCAAATGCTCCAGGGTTACTTCTGTAGTAGCCAGTGGTTAAATGGGTAAAAATGACCTCAAGTGCCGGTGGTGAAAAAAGCAGATATTATGATGTAATTATAAGATTGAGTGCACCTGAATAGGTTAGAAATATTAACTAAAAGTAATGGGTAAGCAGTAGATACCCTGTACTCAGATAATTATAGATAAATGTTTAAAACAGATAAGCAATTGAAAAGCAATTTAATTGGAAGAAAATACATACATATATATTTTTGTCTTATGAGCAGTGGTTGTCAGGTGGTTCTGCTCTGTATCCTTAGTTGTTTCCCTTTTGCAGACACATTTGACACTACAAACATACCATAATCTGCTTGTTAACTGTATTGTATCGTCAACCATATAGATGTAAAACTATAGTAAGCTTCTTTTCTTAAATTAGTACACCACCATTTCTATTTTTAGATTTCATTTTTATTTCCTTTGTTGCTACTTAATTTTTCCACACGGTAAAGTAGAGCTCATATAATAATTTTTACCTACGCCTGTTGTGGCTTGACATAGCAGATGAATAATATCTGCCTACAGAGTGTATTGCCATAGCCAGAAACAACACATGTGCATCTGTCTACTTTCTAACCACATACCTAATTAGTATTGCAGTGGGGCTGGATCATATCCCAGCTGACAGAAAGAGGCCATACATACTGGACAGATCGCCAGTCCATCACAGGGCCAATAACAACACTAAATCTTTAATGCTTCACACTGAGTAATATTTCTTGCCAAGTAGATTTTGGGTAGTGTCTTTGAGTTTCTAATTCAAGTAACTTTAAATTTATGAATGGAAACAAAAGCTCAGGAGTTGTGGGTGAATCTCTGGTTGCCTTTCTGTTTGTGCAGTTTGACTGCTGTCACCTAGTCAGTCTGTCATTCACTCAATTTTATGAATGTGTGTGGGTGGGAGCTGGTGAACCAGTTTTGCCACCTGTGCGTGTAGGTGTGTGTGTGTGCATTGAGTCCTTAGTACTGTTAGCTAATTATATAACAACGCTTTTCTCATTCACTCCCACTCATCCTCCCTCCCTCACTTCATCACTCTCTTTTTATGTTTGTCGTTATCTCTTCATGCTTCTCCCCCACATGCGTACACAAACACACATGAACTCACACGCAGCACAGCATCAATAGTTCATACATGGGTACATGCATGTGGATTGCAACCATGTCCATTGTGTACACGTACAGTGGTGACTGTCATGCTTACACATAAGAATACCATGTATTTTACTATCAGCCTCCGGTGTATTGTCTCCGGTTTCAGTTTTTGTCATCTGCTTTGTACTTCTTATAGAATAAACTGTATTATCTGTCAGCTTGTATAACTTGTGGCTCCAATCCAATGTTGTCTCATCTAAATGGTGCAGACGACTCCGTTTCCGATTTAGGCACAAAGAACAAAAAGACATAACATGGATAACGTGGGACTTCTAACTAGGCTGCAGCCATTTTGTACGAGTAATTAGTAAATTGTTGTTTTTTATTCCCGTTTATTAACAAGAATTTACAATTTTTTTGCAGAAAATGCGATTTCAAGACTTATTTTATTACCTCTAATTGCTGCAGTTTGCATGCAAGATGCTGACGTGTCTGCAAAAACTCGCCAACAGTACGATTAAAAAAAAATAAATCCTGTATTTTAAGTGAGCACACAATATATGTGCCTAGTGGATTTATCACTCAGGCATTTGAGAGCAATTTTTAAGTACCGGTATACACTATTTCTAAAATTTCCCTTTGTTAAAAAAGGAATTCAGTTTACAGTCATACTAACGCCCTGCCACATGTACATGGGTATTTTAGAAAACATACTGGGTTTTTTTTAAGTATTTTAGTCTTACTTCTCTGCATTTTAAGTCACTGAAAACTGAACGTTTGAAAAATTCCTTCCAGAGTTAAGACTTTCCAGATGTCTCCAACGTCAGAAATGTGCACGTTCATTCCCTTTTTTCAGGTCAGACTGTGGGCTGCATTACTGTTTGTAGGCTTCTAAATACACAACATTTCTACAGGGTTAGGGTTCTATTACCACCTGTTGCTTTAACATGCTTTTCACAGCACTTTGCATCATTTTCTTTGTATTCACATGTGTCCAGAAGTATTTCTCAAAAACAAAAGAGGAATATGTACATTTTATGAGTGGATCTAACCTTCACGGAAGAGGAAAGGCAATTTGTGAATGAACATCAAATAATGAACCTAAATTTTCTGTTGTTTGATGACTTGCAAAAACTTCACATCCACTCAAATCTCCCCACTGTTGTAGGCAATTTTATTTTAATTTATAGTGGTGGTAGAGAAATAAAGTGATATGACATGTAATATGAAAATAGGGAAGTTCTTATTGTTTACAACCACTAAAGCGACAAGATAAGGGATGTTTTCACTAATAATCAGAGGGTTACTCCAGGAAAATATGGAGCAGAAGTGATGAGCTATATGATGAGGTTAGTGAGGAGATGATGGGCTGAAACAGCATTTTATTAAATACGTGGACTGTTTTATGTTAAAATGGCAGCAGTTTAACTTTTAAACAAGTTTTAAAACAACATAGCACCATATTAAATTTACATTAAACTTTGGGGTTGTTTGTGTGTGTGCATTCAACTGACTTGTCCTGGTACAACACCTCCTACTTGAGCACAGCGAGGACCAGGCAAAGTCGTGACTTGCAACGCCCTCAAACAGTCTGCCAGGGTGTGATTCCTGCTCTAGAATAAACTCTTAATGCACATTAAGAAAAGCATTGTCAATTTTCACAAGATGGGATAAGATGTTATCCAAAGAGTTATTGTGTCGCGTGGAAAATATTACTGTTATTTTTCGGTTTGCAATCATGTGAATTTTGCTTTGACCTTGCGTTATCTTGTATTCATACATTTCTTTGGTTTTCCTGTGGAAGGAAATGGTTGTCATTCGACATGTTGCCACATTTCAAGCAAACTGGACTGCACTGCAGCAAAACCAGAATCTGATGAAGAGATTAGATAGATACGGCTATAAATTTTACTGATGCTATTTTAGAAACAGTTACGCTTCACAGTATATTAGCGTACACACTAATTTGCTTAGCTCAGTTTGACTGTGGACAAACTAATTTTAGGCTTGTATTGTTAAATACAGAATAGTTTGCTGGCTTCGGCATATATATGTTTAAGGTTCCTCTATGACTGCAGCTACAAAAAGTCTATAAACAGCAGTGAAGGTTTTGAGGGGGTTTCCCAGTAACCTAAAGCATTAAGTTGTGTAACTTTATAGCTGCGGAGAATTTTTTTTCTGCCTCAACATTCTCCAAAATCACACTACTCACATAATGGATGATGCTTTTATTTCAAAGCATGTTTTAAGTTTAATGAGCATAATACAAGGGTTAAAAATTATTAGATCCTGAGCTTATCATCTATTGGAATCACCACTCTACTGTCTGGTATAATATAAACACATTTACGTTGCAGTCATCTTTGTGCTAATATCTTCTCTCTTCCTTTCTGTGCAGTGACAGCTACATCGTACGTGTAAAAGCGGTGGTGATGACGCGGGACGACTCGAGCGGTGGGTGGCTGAATCAGGACGGGGGAGCTCTGAGCAGGGTAGGGGTGTGCCGCCTGCTGCCGACAGAGTTGGCACCTGTGTTGGGCTCCACCAGCTCCCAGTTCTTCATCCGTGGTGAACGAATGCGGGACAACCAGGTAAAATACACACACGCATACATGAATGTGAGCAACAACGTGTCTGTTAAAGATCAGAAATGGATCCATGTTGTACATGGTTGGTGCGTGTCGTATCAACAGGTGATCCTGGATTGCCCGCTGAGGAAGGATCTAGTGTACACCATAGCGACGCCCACGTTTCACCATTGGAAGGTGGAAGACAGACGGTGCGGCCTATCCTTCCAGAGTCCAGCTGATGCCAGAGCTTTCGACAGGGGAGTTCGAAAGGCAATTGATGACCTGGCTGAAGGTAAACTGTGCTGCAATATAACTATTCAAATGTTTTGACAAGACAGAGAGAGACCTGTCCTAGCACCTATAAAGCTTCCAGAGCTAAAATATGCCCAGTCTCTAATTAAACACACCCAAACCGAAGCTGAAAAGCTTTATTGTCAAGAAATCGACGTCAGTAAACAGTCTCCTGTTGGGTTAATGGGCTCATTTGTTAGTTTCAAGTCTAACTGTATAAAACAGGACATTTGTTTTATAGATGATGGTACCTATCTGGGAAAGATAAAGCAAGATATGCTTAGTGTGCATACGGTCTTTGTAGACTTCACTGCTTTGTTTTCTCGAGGTCTGGTTTCAGAAACATAAGACAGCAAATGCTCGTCTCAAGTCTTTACAACAAACCTTACTAGGTCATGGGTGATGGGTGGCTAAGTCCATCTTTTATATACAGTCTACAGCTGTGGTCAGAAGTTTAGATACACTTATCATATCTGCTTTAAAGTCATTAAAGATGTATGCTGTATGTATGCTAATCATTGGAAAAAGGACAGTTCAAAGAAATCATCAAAGCCGAAAATTACCGTCACATTTATGTACATAATTGGTGTATGTAGCCTTCTGACCACAGCTGTATGTGTGCCCACCATAGTCCACTAAAGGCAGACTTCTTGTTTCAATCCCATGCTCCTCCTGAACTTTAAAAGCTGCAGCAGCTTGCTACTATTTCTCCAGGAATTCCACGTTCTAGTTATGACTAAACCATTGTTTGCGTCTTTCCGACTACATAAAGAAAAGGAAACCACACTACTTAATGAATAAGACACTCACTAGCTGGTTCAAGGTTTGAAGTTTTAAAGCATAACACAATCCACCGGTATAACCAGTTAGTCTTGGCAAGGACATGAATGAAGGTTAAGTATGTGGAAGAACGTGTACCTGAAAGTAAAGTTTGTTTTTTGTCAAGTTAAAAATTTTTGGTAAGGGACAGGATGAGGAAGTCAGGAGCTATTTGACTGCCATGACGTTATCAAAGGACGTCAAAAGATTCTTTGTTGTATGTAAAAATTAAACAACCTGAAATAAAGTTTATTCCCTTCTCCTGTCTGTAGGCTCCACGACCTCCTCTACGGCACTCCAGAATGAGGGGGAGCTGGGTGACGATGACGTCTTTACTGTAAGCACTTTATTTTGCATTAATAACTATGATGGTCACAACTTTTGACTCACAGCAGGCGGCATTACTAAGTTTCAGTTTGTTGTGGACACAGTAGATTGAATGTGTGGTTGTGTGCGTAAAGATTTTGCAACAAATACGGCTAGCTTACCTAAAATGGGCTTCAGGATCACACGGATAATATCATCTATACAATGTCAGGTCTTCACAGCACCATAATCGCTGGTCATACATAATAAAAGTCTCTGTGATGTCTGTATACAACTCTCAGCTTTAGTCTCCACCACAGAAAAGAAGAAGCCAACACCTAGTGGCTCTAGTCACTACTACAATTGAACTGCTAGATCCAAAAGATCATCAAAATTATTCATCCCAGTTCACGGCGTCATCCATGTGCTCTGTAGGCTCTCTGCTGGCAAAGTACACATCAACTCTGAATGGAAAGATCCAAATCAAATGCTTAAGGCCCGATCTCTGGTAAAATGTTCATGCAAATCTCGTATCCGTTTGAGTCATCCTGCTAACACAAACAAACTAAACCAACACCCTGGCAGTGATAGAAATCATGCAGTAAAAGGCTCTAAATAAAAACAACTGGCCGTAGACTCAGCCAGCTGCTCTGTACTACAGATTAGACAGAGTTGGAGCTTTTCAGACATCAAACCACTGCAAAACCTTTTTAATGTTGTGTGTGAGAACTTCACTGCTCTGAAAATTAATCTCTCACTACCATCATGAGGTAAACAGAAGTAGTGTGCCTCAGTGGTCTGTGTGGTATTACTCAAAGGCAAAAGCTGAGCCAGGTTTTTGTCAACACAGCATCATTTCTCACAATGTCATCTGGAAAGGAACACATTCCTGGATTACTTTGTACATACTGTGTTTACCTAACTATCAGTGCAACAAAACAGAAAATAATTGCTGCTGTGATAACTTTCTAGAGTTATAAAACGCTGTTGTGAACATTATAAGCTGTTGCACAGTGCTGTGCTGTTCATTAGGGGTTAAAACGCTGAAACTGGACTTCCTGGATCACATTTCATGTCTATCCAGTACTTTAAACAACACGCCTTTTCCAGCACAGCTACAAGCCTTGTTTTAATGCAGGTCGGATGTTAGTCTGAATGGCTTTTTAGGTGTAGACCTCCATGTGTGTTACCTTGACTGCACTAGTCCTATCTTAGAAGTTCCACTCTTCATAACTGGAGAAGGAGGCAGCAGAATTAGGATCTGGTGTGGAGCACACACTGATCAAATTTATTTCATCCATCATTCAAAAATTAGGTCTGCTCAGGAGTTCACCGAGTATTCGCTGCCGGTCATCTATACCTGCCACAGTACAGGAAATGTATGCACACATACACACACACACCCTCCCGTAATTTGACACAAGGGCCAGCAGGCAGGGTCACAAGGTCACTTCCTGTGTCCCAAAAGCTCCCACTCTCCTGGTGACCCCACCCCCCTCCCCCACCCGCGCCATCCCTCTCCCATTTGAAACAGAGAAACACTACCAAACTAGCAGTTAGCAGCTGTTTCCCAGCTTAGCGCAGGGCCGGTGATTTACGAGAGGAAGTGCCTCGTGGTTCATCTTTGACTCGAGCTGTCTGTACGGGCCAAGACTAATAGGTGCTGTGCTGGGAGCACACAGCCACCACAGAGATGCATACAAACACTTGAGGAGTGGGGGGACTACAGCACTGTCGGTGGGCGGAGCAATCCCCTGAAATGGAGCAGCAGGTTTTCGCTAACAGAGAGGCTAAAAGTGCAACAAATCCACGGCAATTCATGGGTATTGTTCCATAAAATTGACCTTTTTTTCTCCACAAATGAAGACCCAGAAAGCCCACATCCATTTCAGTTAAATCCCCACTGACTTATAAAACAAAACAGTGTGATAGCCTCGATTTTTCCATTTCCCTTGTGGCCTAATATAAAGTATTTTTTAGCACAAGGCTCACCCTGTTTGGTGCATGAGTCGTGCTAGCAACCAACAAAGCCTGCCTGAGGAAATATTATGCATTGCCTCATGTCTGCTTTTAAAACTTGTGCTGAAAAATGCCACAAGATTACAGCAAACAGCCAGCAGACCTGCACATAGCATGCGACTGCATAAGAGGAAATACTAGGACACAGTCTGTATTTGTGATCTAAAAAACATAGTGGAATTAAAAACAAAAATAGGCTACATGTTGGGTCTGATTCTGAATCTTATGCTTGTGCCAGATATTAAAATAATAAAAGTTACGGGGAATATTTCCCCACAGACATTCAGAAAGACAGTCGAGTATTGTCAGGATCCAACTGGACTCATGAATGAAACCAGGGGGAAACAATTACTGCCTCGATTTGTGTCTTCCCTGCCCATTTTTAGGGTTTCTCTCTCAACATTTCTGTATTTTTCTACCTGACGACTGCTGCATAGCATATTGGAATATAAAACCCCAAAACATGAATATAACAACAACAGCCTTATAGAACATGTCAAAAAGTTACTCCTCTTCTAATGAAACGTTACAAAGTGTCATGACTGTAAAATCACAGGTGGAACATGAGGGGTTTAGTGCTGCTTGTGTTCTTCTGTGCTAATGACCTTTCCTAAAGTTAGCAGCGGCGGCGGTGGCAGTTAGTGAGGCAGGCGGTCGTAGACAGAGGGAAATGCTGGAGCAAATTTACAGCCTTTGGAGGGATGGGGGAGGATGGTTGGATGGGCTTGGGGGATAGGATGGACATACTTCCCTAAATGATTCCTCGTTCGCCAAACCTAAACTTAACCTAACCCTTCCTCTGTCCCTCCCTTCAGCACATCTCCCCTCTCTGTCTCTATTTTGGCTCATTCACAACAGGGGGAGTGAAAGCTATAGAAGCAATTCTGGGCTCATCCCAGGAGAGCGAGACAGGCCCGTTGAAGGATGAATCCTCCTGAGCTTTGAGTCGGGGCATGTTTTGTGTCAGAAAATAACTTGAAATGCCCTCTGTCCAGCCTTGGACCAGAATATATAGAGAGAGAGGATGTCCAGAAATACAAACTCTCCCCCTCAACTCCTCCCTTTGTCTCCCTGTCCTCTTGTGCAGTCTGAGCTTGCAGCTGAAAGTCTGGTCTGTGTTTTGAATTAGATGCAGCCATGGAGGCCAGAGTCAGACTGGTTTCAACCATATCAACTCCTCCCCCAATAATGTCTTCGCCAGGGGGCGGAGCCCAAAGCTGAGGCAGCATGTTATGTTATTTTTGGCAGGCTGCTCTGAGGGCTTTGTAAGAAAGCTAAGGGGAAATTCTCAGCATGGCAGTATCCATGTGGGGAGTAGGATATAATGGGGATAGCTTCAGCAAGACAGACAAAGACACACACACACACATACACACACATATCAGAGCTGGGTCATATAGTTCTGCAGAATAGTTTGCAGCATTGGATTTAGGCTTATTGGAGTGCCAAATATTTATATTTTTTTGGTGGTGGGGGGGAGAGAATAGTTTAGGAATAGTTTTAGAAATTCTAAATGATGTCAGTAGCTTCCAAATAAAAGTGGAATTTGCAAATCCTTAAAACCTCGCATTTCATTTGAAAACAAACTATCAGGTGTTGGTACTGAAATCCATTAAGATATTTCCCAAAGTACAGGATGAGACATCTTTCCCGGATTACTTGCTGTAGTTTTGAAAGCATAATGTTTTCACATTCTTGGTCACCACAGAATTTCAGTTGCTCAGTTTTATAATGTCACAATATCACAGGTCCTGAGATCTGATAACAAGCTGAACAGGCTGCCCCCTCTTAGCCCGGAGGATATGGTGTCCAAATGAGCTACTCCTACTCTGCATCCTCCAAAATCCCAGTATGTGCAAAATGTCTTTGCACAGGACGGTTTTAAATCACCTCCCTGATGTTACCTGAAGTGTTCCTGAGCCTGTGAAGTGATTTCCACTTCAGACCCAAAGATCACAGCCGATTATTTTTGGTCTTGACCTTGTTTCTTTCATTCAGAGATTTCTCTGATATTCAGTGTTAATGATGATGAAATGCATAACTTCTGTTATTGAATGAGGTGTGAACTTCTCTTTATCTTGCCTTCTAGAAGTTCATTCACCAATCATGCCTTGATTGGCGTTTGTTCGTGTGGTTTCTTTTTGTGTTTGTTTTCTGTGATTTGTTTGTAAGCAATTCAGAAATTTTAATATATTGAATTGCACAATTAGCTGTATTATGTAAGGACAGCATGCTAACAGCTGGAGTGGTAAGCATAGAGTTTTACATGTTAGAAATATTATCATTAGCATGTTGGCATGTTAGTGTAAGCATGTAAGCTCAAAGGCATGACCATTGCCTATACACATAATGTCGCCTCCAACGGTATCAATTCTGGGTTCATTGCTTTGCTCAAGGACACTTTATTATATCTCCAAAATGACAAAAGTAGTTACCATTAATAGAAAATTCCTTGCATCTACAGCCACCCCTCTCTAAGGCAGATCTAGCTTTTTGTATATCTGTCCAGTAATAGTTGAAGAGAAGTTGGATAGTTTGAATTTTAAAAAAAAAATCGAATCTAATTTGTGAAATAACATTTCTGGGAAAACGTGTTGGAAATCTCACAGCTGTTGCAGATAGCTAGGAGAAGATGGTCAAGAAAAAGTAAGACATGCAAAAAATCGTTCTTGCCATTGACTTCTTGTGACCAGTCTTCCCCAAAGCAAGACAAAATGCAGAGGATACATTTCAAGCACAGCTTCTCAAACAGAAACACCTGCACCCTTTGCCCCGCGGCTAAACACATCTACAATACATGCACTCATATTACAATGCTGATATGATTAGACAAAAGGAGTCCTTGCCTATCAGCTGGTGGCTAACAGAGGCTGACCCCCATTGTGCATGTCTGAAATCGGCAGCGGTCTGACTGTCTTTTGTCTGGCCAGTGTTTGAGTTGGACTGGAGCCCTGATAGACTTTAGCGGAAAGGAGACGGGATACTGTTCACATGTGCACACACATGCGTGGAGAGGTGGAAAGGGGAGAAGGAAAGGTGGAATGTGGAGAAAGTGCGATTGAGGAAAGGAGGACAGGTTGACTGGGGAGAAGGAGATGATGTGTAGAGGCTTAAAAGGTGAGCCTGTGGATATGGTGTGTGTACAGAAAAAAACATTTTAAAGGATGCTTCTGTTTCCACTTTTTTGGATTTAGGAATATTTTGTATCAGTCACTTGATCTTCATGATTGCTTAGGTTTCTTGTTTTCAGTCATTTAAAAAAAAAAAGTTAATTTAATGGATTCCCTTTTACTTTTATTGTCAAATACCCAGTTCATATGAATATACAAGACAATATATTCATACTGAGTCAGATAAGAGTTTTTGCTGTGAAAATATGTTAAAAAAATAAATTAAATCAAAGTGGTTAATTTAATTGTGATTTTAGGTGTGATGGTTCCTGCAATGTTTTCGTAAGTGATTCTTTGTGGCAGGTGTTGTTAGTAAAAGCTTAACTCGCATATAGCAGTCCAAAAGTGGATTGGAAAACAGAGCTCACACTTCCTGTTTTTCCAATCAGTGCTGCATGGAGGCTTCCTGTTTTTGTTTGTCCAATCAGGGTGTCCTCTCTCGCTATTTGTTTGACGTGTGCAATCAGAAATCAGCTTTTCAGCCTGCATCCTGTGTTTGTTTGTCACCTCAGAATACCACAGACAGCTCATCCAACTCCTCCCAGAAACTGGAGACCTCTCTGCAGCCGCTCGAGTCCTCGCCCCTTCCCCAGAGACACAAGTGCCCGCTGGGATTTCGCCACGATCCCTATCGGCTCTCAGACCACTACTACTTGGACCAGGTGAGACAAACGCGGCTAAGCTGTATCCATACATATTTTATACATATATCTTATGAGTGAATTACTGCCAGCGTTGTTTATGTTATATACTCTCTCTGTTGTTTAGCCATTGTCTCGGATTCCCCGCCATGTCACCTTCGAGGACGAGGAAATCGTCCGCATCAACCCTCGGGAGCGCAGCTGGGAGCGGCCCGCCGAGCGTCATCGTGGACGCCACTCAGATCGCTCCTGGCTCACCGGCTACGAGGACTACCGCCACACAACAGTGCGTGACAAATTCATCAACATGGACGACCCTGAGCCCAATGTCCACTTTGACAAAACGGAGGCGCAGAAGCACGACTACACGTACCCGCTGGCACCGGCCCTGTCGCCCTCAGACTCTGATCCCTCCCTTGGACCCTTAAACAGTAAGGGCCAAAACGTCTCGTATCGCCAGCAGTTCCCGTCTGTGGTGTCCAGTCAGCCTCGCTCCCTACTCCCGAGCTCCTCTTCATCCACCAATGGTGGGAAGGGGCGGAAGGATGACAGAATGGAGCGTGCTCAGTGTGAGCACTGCGGTGAGGCTTTTTACCTCTCCAGCAACCGGAGAGGTAGGTGCCAGGATGCTCCAGACCCGGTGCGCACGTGCATCCGACGGGTCAGCTGCATGTGGCTGGCAGACACCATGCTCTACCACTGCATGTCTGACCCAGAGGGGGACTACTCAGACGCCTGCTCCTGTGACGGGGGCGAGGGTAGCGGGGGAGGCTGTCTGGGCACGCGCTGGTTAGCCCTGTTTGGTTTGTCTTTGGTGGCGCCCTGCCTCTGCCTCTACCCACCTCTCCACGCTTGCCACCGGGTAGGGCTTGCATGCGGCTGCTGCGGAGGTCGACACAAGGCCCTGAGCTGAGCGGCCGTGCTTTGAAACCTCAGAGGGACACGACTCAAACCTAAACCCAATGCAAGGACAGGGAAAGGGAAGGATGGGGAAACGAACAGAAGGGACAAGTGGTCATGGCTGCTTACTCTCTTGCCTTGTTTTCTCTGGGTTTCTCTACAAATTCCAGACACTGAAATAAGCCAAAAAAGAAAAAAACTGCTGGTGCATTTTCTGAACGGCCTGGGAAGATAAGCTCCCCCTTACGGCAGACAGTTCTCTCAGCTCTCCACGTGGCCATTTGCTCTGTTTCTAGTGAGAGAGCACTCTTTTTCAGGGGGCCTTTTTTTTTTTATAGCTGACCTATATGTCATGTATCACATATGCAGGTACTTTATATTGTTATATTTGTACACTGACTCGGCGTCAAAGAACTTGAATTGTTTCTTTGTCCTGTTTTTCATTCTCTCCTTTGATGTACGCGTGGCCATTTTGTTTATACTCTATTCCAATATCAGGCCCGCTCAGCTCAACTCCAGCAACACGAGACATCAAACACTACATCTCTTTGCGCATGTGTGTTAGTGTGCGCGCGCGTGTGCGTTGATGGTATATGTGCATGCTTGTGCGCCTAGGCCTTTTGTTGTCTGTACTGCAGCTTATAGTAAAGCTCATGTATATAGTCTACATAGCTCTCCACCATCAACGTCTTCTTTGTTCACCGAGGCAAACGTGGTACTCATCTTAATCTTCGTCTAATATCCCAAAGATTCAAGCTTTCATCCTATTTATTTTTCTCTCTTAAATTGATCCACCATCAAAAGGGTGCTGGGCTATGATTCATTCACTGAATGAGACGGTGCCTCAAGTCACGCTAGCATCCGCCCCTGCTCCTTTCAAACATTATTTCAAACAGTGCCTAAAATCGCCTGAACCGGGAACCCACTGAGTCTTATTCCAGTCAGATTTTGGCTCATTTTTACTTACAGTGCACTTGGAGTAGTGTGATTTTTTTTTT